GTGAGTGTCGAGAAGTGTTGAACACGACACGTTAGAATTTTTGAAGTGTCGGAGCTTCATAGATTAATATAAGGAAATAAGTAAACAAAACGACGTAGTTTTTGGGTGGACGGAGATAAATATATCTCAAGCTACTTGAGAAATAATTCTCTCTCTCTTTATATATATATATATATATATATATATATATATATATATGGATCACGATCATTTTACACCGGTGTAAAATTAATAAGTCTTACACTACATCTCAACCGTTGATGCATGCAATGGGTATAATTTAGGAAGTCATACGAATTAAATAATATTAATTAATCATTAATTACACTACAAATACCAACCGATGATTTCCGTCCATCAACGAGTGAGATGTGGTGTAAGACTTGTTAGTCTTACACTGGTGTAAAAAGAACCTGCCTATATATATATATATATATATATAGGGATATATTTTTCTTATGTTGTAGGAAAAGAATTATCTTATGTTGTAGAAACAAAAGTATAAGTGGGACCCACATGTAAGAAGAGAGAGAGAAAAAAGTGGTAGGACCCAACTTCTTTTTTTGTGTGTAGGAGAGATGTTTATCTCATGTAAAATGAGATAAACATAACCCATATATATATATGAGTGTGTGTGTGTGTATGGGATGAACATTTCTCCGGGAACTTGAGGTAAGCTTATCTCAAGCTACCACTTTTAACTATATACTACGTGTAGTACATAAAAGTGAACAGTCAATTTTGTCCCAAATATTTAAAAATGACAAAAAAAAGAGTTGTTCATTTTTTGAGACCACCACACTATTTCGAGTAGCCATTTTCCAAGAGTTATTTCTCTCAATTGAACCGTTAGATCATCCTCAAATTTAGTCGACATATTCCTCTCATATGATACTTCAATCTGACCGATCCAATTTTTAAGCTAAGCCCTCTAGTGTGAGATATGGTTGTCAAAATATGGCTGTCCATATTGAAAAAAACAACTTTCCTAAGAAGTACCACATTGCTCACTTCTCATTACTTCCTCCTCCCTTCTCTCTATACAAAGAGCTCAAGCCTCTTACGATGGAGCATCAATGTTTACTCTTACGGGTCCTCATGAAGTTCTATATTATAGTAGGAAATCAAGGAACTGCTGCAATATTCTATGCTGAAAGTGCTGAGACCTACACCTATAGACTAGATTAGGATAAGACTTTTGTATTGTATAATTATGTGATGCTAGATGTAAAATATAAGTTAAAGGGATGCAATATATAGTAGAATGTAGGACCAATGTAAAATAATTTCCGTATGTAACCGACTTAATGTTATGTATAAAGTAACATTGGTAGATATTTATATAGTTCCTTTTTAATTGTTTTTATCATCAATAGTAAAATTGAAGAAATCAATTTATATTTATTAATAACATTAACACCTCTCCATTTTATTTCTTACTGTTTATACCTAAAAAGAAAACATAAATTTAAAGAAATCATGTAATATTCCTTATAAGAGTTAATTTTAAAGGATGTTACACTCAAGGTGTGGTAGGACCGACACTTATTAAAAAAAAAAATGAGTGGCGCAAGAATCGAAAGGTGGGAAGTATGATAGTGTTTTCTCTTACTACATAAAAGAATTACTTCCCATATATATATATATATATATAGGGGTAAATATTTCTACATCCACTTTAGATAAGGTTATTTACAGCTACTTCAAAAACTATGTCGTTTTGATTAATGAAGGGTGTTTATATAATTTTAGATGAATTAATTAAAGGGTGTTTTCGTAATTTTATTTATTTTTTTATCATATACATTTTACTGAAACACCCTTGATTAATTCACCTAAGAGTACATAAACACCCTTCATTAATCAAAACGACGTAGTTTTTATTAATAGTTCCTTTTTAATTGTTTTTATCATCAATAGTAAAATTGAAGAAATCAATTTATATTTATTAATAACATTAACACCTCTCCATTTTATTTCTTACTGTTTATACCTAAAAAGAAAACATAAATTTAAAGAAATCATGTAATATTCCTTATAAGAGTTAATTTTAAAGGATGTTACACTCAAGGTGTGGTAGGACCGACACTTATTAAAAAAAAAATGAGTGGCGCAAGAATCGAAGGGTGGGAAGTATGATAGTGTTTTCTCTTACTACATAAAAGAATTATTTCCCATATATATATATCTATATATATATATATATATATATATATATATATATGGGTAAATATTTCTACATCCACTTTAGATAAGGTTATTTACAGCTACTTCAAAAACTATGTCGTTTTGATTAATGAAGGGTGTTTATATAATTTTAGATGAATTAATTAAAGGGTGTTTTCGTAATTTTATTTATTTTTTTATCATATACATTTTACTGAAACACCCTTGATTAATTCACCTAAGAGTACATAAACACCCTTCATTAATCAAAACGACGTAGTTTTTAGGGTAGCTGTAGATAACCTTATCTAAAGTGATTATAGAAATATTTTTTTCAATATATATATATATATATATATATATATATTACTTATTTGGAGTGCTAACTTTAATCCATAAACGAATAAGTTATAGATATATTACTTTATTATAAATGTTTTGGTTCGAATGAATATACTACTTTCGTTTAAATGGTGAAAGATAAACACATTTTTTAACGAGGTAGGATATTCTTACTACCAATTTTTTCTACTACCACTCCACTACCACTTTAATCACCATTGGATTCAAAAGTTATTTTTCTTTTCTCTCTCTTCATTCAACTTTTCATCTAATCCAATGGTGATTAGAGTGGTAGTAAAAAAAAGTGGTTGTAAAAATATCCTAACTCTTTTTTAACATACTTTTTTCTTTTCCACATACAAGTAGCTGAAGTAAAAAATAGTGTGTAATATGTCCGAGAAAGTTAGCACAAAATTCCCTTTAAGTGAAGCTCGTTATGAATTATTTTACACGAGTTAAATTGATATGTCAGCAAAAGATATACAAAAATTAAAACAAAGTGAATGAGCACTTTTTTACATGAAAAATTCTCTGGGTATACTTCATCCAAATTTTTCACTATCAATAAAAGTGAAATTACAAAATTATCCAATAATAACTATAAATAATTAAAGTATAAAGGATTTCTCCCGTCAATGGAGATAAATTATCTCCAATGAGCCTAAAACGACGTCGTTTTGAGATGGAAATCAAGGTATTTTTGTAATTTTAATATATTGCAGTGTTGTATTAGTCTTTATTATTATAATATTTTAATGTTATAATCCCAAAACGACGTCGTTTTGAGTTCACTGAAGATAATTTTATCTCCAGTGACTGGAGAAATATTTTTCTCATAATTAAAGTACCAATAAACAACCTTAACACAAGTAATTTTAAAGTACCATAATATCTTAATCTTATAATCACAAAACGACGTCGTTTTGAGTTCACTGGAGATAATTTTATCTTAAATTATCTCCAGTTACGGGAGAAATACTTTTCACATAATTAAAGTACCAATAAACAACCTTGACACAAGTAATATTAAATTGCAAGAGGTATTCGCAAAAGCACGGGTTATATCTAAATTTAGTAAGGAGCAAATCCGAATTGTCAAATTGAAGAACTATAAAAAAGAGGAACTTAATGACCAAATTTGAAAACCATTCAAGGATTGATATTTCTCTTTAATGTTATTGCGAGTTTGGTAGAGTAAAAATATTTTTTTTATTCGAAAATTATGATTCATGAAAATATGATGGGAAAGTGAGTATTCCAAAAATGTTATCAAAAAATTATTTGATACGTTAAAAATAATATTAGGAATATTAAATAAGTTTCCTCTTTTTCACCTACTTTTTTTTCTCGTTTTCCCTCAATCTGGATGATATTTTTAGATGAAATTTTTATTATAATTTACACACAAAACAGACTTTCAAGTAAATTATTTTTCCGAATAAATTATCCGAAATGTAATATCACACGGTCTTCTTGCAAATCCACCTTCACTTTCCTGTTTATCTTAAAAAAAACCCTACCAAAAATCCGAACTATCAAAATTTAGGTCCAAAATGTGCTTGATCCAAATTGTGCATTTAAGAGGTATGCCTCTTTCATCACCGGTGTCTTCCGCAGAAAACTCTTATCTCTGAATTTTCTAAGATTGCATGTAACATCTGATCAAGGAATCAACCGTCCAAAATTAAGACCAATGAGTCCCGAACATTCTAAAAAAAAATTAATTCAATTCTGTAACAAAATTATTGTTGTTCCTTCTTATTTATTTTTCTTATTCTTCAAAATGTTTATAATGATGGTCTGTGGCGGAGCCATTTGGTTCCTAACTGATGCCTTGACACTAGGGATGCTAAACTAAACAAGGGTTTTTGACCCGACTCGTGAAGATCTGAGCTTATATGTCTATAATTGATTGTTGAAATCAGGCTTACACTTGTATAAAAGATCATTTAATAAAAGAACCTCATGTTTCACTTCAAAAGTTTGTTGGTACCAAAAACGGTGGTGTAAGTGGCTCAACTGTGCAGATAAGAACCAGATGAGGAACAAGAATAGAGGTTTTGTGTAGGAAACGACTTCAATGAAAATCTGCTTTTAAATTATTACATTTTTCATGTGCAGTGTATCTGCTAGGCAAAAAACGATCTGGTCTTAGAAGGATTTCGGTCCTTCCTTCGGCTTCGTGGCAAAAGTAGGCCATTCCCCCTCACCTCACAAACACTGTCACCGCTTGCAAACGGATCTTTCATATCCGGATGCGTGTCCTAGAAGTGGATCCGGTCTTCTTAGCCTGCTTATTATTTAGTTGGTGTTTCTGAATTATTGGTTCCTCATTTTTCGACCAAATAAATTAAAAATAAGAAAAACGAAAGAGAATGCTACACAAACCGGAAATGACTCAAATTAGTTGCTATCATAAATCACTACTACACTAAAGCAGCTTTATACACACACACGTCATTTAACAGAAGCCAAAAACGACTGCCCCTCTTTATTCATCGTCGCTCACTCACCACTCTACAAAACCAAGCATTCGCGTACACATAAAAAACATCTCCTGATTCTTACCTTTTAGAATTTTTGTAACAAGTCAAATCTAACAATTAGCACGTTCACTTTCCGCTTATAAGAGTTCTCTTCGGAAAACTTCAAAGCGTCTCACATTCCCACGAACTCCATATTCTAAGCAGAAGAAACAAAAATCTTTGGTAACATCTCCAGCAGATGATTTATAGATAGGGACGATCTGCATCAGCATTTTGAATGAACATTACCCAATTCCAAGCGCCCATCAATAGCAACAAAAAATTACATTTTACAAAATTTTACCTGATCAGTACAGCATCAAAGTTTTTTAGTCTTTCCCTTTTCTTCTGTTGTATTCCTTTTCTCCATCCACTGCTTCATCAGTAAAGTTCTGATCTGTCATCTCTGTAACAACCACATAGTCAAAATTCAAAAACTTGGGTACATAAATTATCGTGCATGTACACATGTGGACAGACAATTACAATCTTCACATTTCCGAATTATCATCAACTAATTAACATTTGGTTGTTCCATTTGGTCTTAATATATATTTGAAGAAGGTAGCTAAAACAGTTTGGGTTGTATATGTCTTTGATAAAAGAAAATTTTGGCGCACCTGTGTCATTACAAACCAAGTCATGGGGAAACATATGAGATTCACACAAATGAAGGTGCCCTGAAACTGTTGCTGATACAGAGGAAAATCTCTTTTTTTGACCTAAATCAACAACTTGACTTGGGGAACTAACAATTTCTTCAACGATTGGAGCAGCTAAACTTCCTTGTTTGCCCGAAGATTGGTAGTGCTGAATCCATGGATTTGCCTTTAAATCATGGCACTCGTTTAGTCTCCTCATTTGTGGATTCTCTCTCACAAAACTGATCTTTTGCCAACTGCCACTTCGAAGGACCTTGAACTGTTATTTAATGCAAACAAAATAAAAATAAAAATTAGTAGTAGTTTTAACTTCAGTTCCAGTTGAAGAATGAGATATTGTGTAGAACATAATATTAATTAATATAGGCGAAACCTGGCCAGACATTTCCTTGGAAGCATATAATCGGTCAACAAAAGTTGCTTCCATAGACTTAAGATACATGCTGTGTTTCTCATTGGTCCACTCAGCTGTAGAAACAGATCCCTGATTTGAAATTCAAAAAACAATTTGATTGATGCAGCCAATAAGTTACATGCCAAATCAATCAATAAAGAATTGAATCTTTTGGAACTCAACTTTATTTATTCAATGTCAGTTTCTTAAGTTTTTCTTCATGTTATTATTTTCTTGTTACAGTTTTTTTTTTTTTTTATTTCAACTCTTTCTTGAACCAGCGGTTAAATTAAAAAATATTAAATTCTGTTAATTTTTTCAGATATTTATTATATGTTGATTATTAAATTTTCTCTTCACACAATTAAGGTGGGGTGGGTATTTGATATAAATAAAAAATTTAATATGCATTTATTTAGCTTATTTTTAAAAAAAAATTAATTAATTTTTTAGTACGCATTTATTTATTTTTTCATGACATCTCAAAAGTTCAAAGTACAATCGACAGGGTCCATGGCCCATCAAAAAGGTTATCCTCCATTGCACCTTATTTGGATAAGAGAGAAACCAAACGAATGGATGGGGAAAAAAATAAGCAGATGTAATTTAACTTAAAAAGAAAAAATTTATAATTCGTTTCTTAAATTTCATTTTCTTCTTACTATTTTTTCAACCAAAATTAAATAAATAAATAATTTTCTTTCCATGTTTTCCTCCTTCGTAACATATGGTAGCATTAACCATCTGATCCTCTTCTTTATCTTTTTCAATAAATATAAGCACTATCACAAAATTAATTGACCTTTATATTATTATTGTCTGGATTTATTATTGAAATTGTTTGTCAACATCTACACCATATCTAAACTTTAAAATAAACAACGTATTGTCTCTTAAATTTTTTATTACTCACAGATGTTACATTTAATGGTCATAGCTAAAAAGTGAAAAACCACATGTCATTGAAATTTACAGAGGAAACAATTGCAACGAAACTGATGACGCTGATCAATATGCTTCGTTTTTAAGGCTTAAAAGATAAAACTACCACTATTCGAAATTTGTCGTGATAACTTTTAGTTCCTCAATTTAAAATCATTTGGAAATGGAAGAACCGTTTGAATATCTAAATATTTATATAATAATCATCCGCACAAATTAATATAAAAGTTAGTAGTATATAATGAAAACATTTTTAATACGTCCCTTAATGACAGAAATTAGTAAATGCTTACCTTTATAATAAAGTTATATATTAAGAATAAATTGATGGTGAGAATTTAAATATCTCGAGAGATTCGTATATTTGTCATGCTCTTGTATAAAATAAAAATTCATATACAGTAAACAGTTTTTTTTTTTTTTAAAAAGAAATAACATTGGAGTTGCTTTCACCTGTGTTGAGTAAATCTTCGATTGATCACAGTTGAACTTATTTTATATTTTTAAAATAGTGTGTGCGGTTAATTGGTTACGAGCTCAATATAATTGAAAAAATAAAATATTATAATACCAAAAAAATATTATTATATATTCTTAGGTTAATTTGGTAGTTCATCTATCTTTGGCTGAAGCAAATGAATTTACAAAGTTTTTTATTTTTTTTAAAAAAGGATATTTTCATATACAAAATAAATTAATATTCGTTTTTTATTTTTTTATTTTTTTTTGGGGAGGTGAACATATTCGCTTTTATATTTGTGAAATGTAAGTTTATTATGAATTGCTTTAATCAGTATATGTTTTCGGCGATTGTAACTAAAAGAATTAATAGCAGAGTTTGTAAATAATGGTGAAAAAGAGTATAGCTAGGAAGCAAAGAAAAATTGGAGAAAGTAAAACTACCTGCATCTGCTTGTGTGGTAGATTGGAACCAGACTCGTTATCCAAAGTGGGTGAACTCGTCCTAGAGTCTTCTTTTATTCTGAAACTCTTCTTCATTTGCAATGGAAACAAGTAATGATGAAATATAGATGAGCAAGAAGGCGAAGGAGAGAGAAAGCGATGAAAAAGTGTTGTGTAACAAAAAATAAAGAAAGAAAGAAAGATCAAAGTTGTGAGCGCTTTTAGACGTTAGTGGGACCACCGCATCGCCACGTTGCAGTGGGCTTGATTAGATTTAGATTGCGCAACGGAGAAGCCACTGCAGTAGATATTTTCTTGGACATCCAAAATATCTGAAAATATCGATAGTACACTTCTTCCTACTGATAGGTCCTCGTTATTCCCTCAACCTCAACATCTATATACATCCATACATATAATAGGGGATTAATATTTTGATAAGAAATAAAGTTTATATCTCAACACACAGAAAGATGTATGGTGTCGAGAAAAAAGAGAGAGAAAAAAAAAATATAAATTTCACATTTATTTATAATGTATATAAAAAATTCGTATAATAATATAACAAATGATAGTCATTACTGTTGATAAAGAGCAGGTCAAAGTATAAACTAAATTCAATTTATTGGGATGTGAATGTGAATTTTAAATTTAAGGAAACAATTTTTGTAAAAAAATCGCATAATTCTTATTTTATAGTCGAATGAGAATTGATTTCATGAATAAATTAAAATGACTTTAAGCCACTAAAATTGGATTAATGGGTGGTGAGAGTTTGAATAATCCTTATGATATCATAGATTCGAACTTTAGAGTCGCCTTTATATAAAATGAGTATAACTATTTGTAATTACACAAAAATAGTGTCATTAAAAAATCTTGGTGATGGTGATTTATGTGTAACGTTTAGGAGACTCATCACAGACCTATACAAAGACTTTCATCATGTCATTAACATGTGTAATTGACAAGCTAAACAACATCTCATATTCTGATTATATGCGCCTTGGATGAGATAAGAATCAGATTACAAGAAGTAAGAATATGTATGGGCCTTCCTTTGCAAGAGTTTTCTGGGTTGTCAAAGCCCATTTAGCTTTGGGCTAGGTCTCAATATCTTTATTTCAGTTAAATTCAAAAAAAAAAAAAAAAAATTCCCGAGAGTCAGGGCAACAAGTTGGCCTTGTTTGTTTATCCAGGTTTACACGGAGAAGTCCACATAGCAAAACTTGATAACTCGAGGGAGTGAATGGGAAACCATGTTTAATTAGTTGAGGTGATAGAGAGTTTTCGCTTTTCAGGCATGGCTTCTTCACTATCCAAGGCACCACCACCGCATGTTCACCTCTTCAGAAACCCTTCCTCTTTCCACTCTTATCCTGCTATTCTATCTTTTGGTTTCTACTGGAACACATCTTTGCTTCACCCTCGTCTCTCTGCCCTCAAAGCAACTGTGTCTGACGGTGATAATTTGCTCAGGAAGCCCCTCCTTCCTCACAGGAATGGAATTTTGGATGGCTATGACTATGAAGAGGAGGATGAGGACGAGGAGGACAATACTGAAGAGGAGAGATGGATTGATTGGGAGGATCAGATTTTGGAGGACACCGTTCCTTTGGTTGGCTTTGTTAGAATGATTCTTCACTCTGGACAGTGAGTTTCTGTTTTCCAATTACAAGAAGAAAAAAAAAATTGTTATTTCTTCATATTATGGTTTAGGCATTGCAATCAGTAATGGTTTGATTTTGAGTGGCATTAAGTTTATAAGTTCTCATGCTTTTATAAAACAAAGCTCAATAGTTTTGTCAAATGCCTCTAGTCCAGCAAGTGCTTGCAATCTATGCAACGGGTGATTTTTAAGTATAGTGTAAACTACTACATTCATAATTATTCACATGGACTAAGTGTACAGCTACATTATTTTTAACTAACACCAGTCAGTCAGTCACATTATTGGTACAGCGATATTCTGATGAGAAGTGTTACTTTTTTCTTTTTAAACCCTGACCTTGACATTTGCTTCCAACTTAGCGTATTGTGTATATGTGCTCCCTGGATAGTTTGAATGGGTATTTTTTGCGCTCTTAACTCCAATGAATCCAGTCGTGGATGTGTTTGTGTGTGCTTGTCAGTTGTCACCATGTAGTTGTTCTCTACATTGCCTATTTGATGCTGGGCTAAATATTTCTAATTGGTGCTTTTCTCTTGATTATGATGATAAAATTCTTTCAATTTTCAAGCATCAATGTTTAGTTTGTATGCCTTCTCTCTTGCACTGACATTGAAACATTTCACATTGCGCATTCAAGTAAAGCCACATCATATTACATATGTTTAATATATTATAGAATGAGAATATTGTGCAACTAAAACAAGTAATATATAAGACAACCTAACTCATGCTAATACAGAACACATACTATCTAACATATGAATGTTTCAACCTCAGAACATGACACTAAAAACTTAAATCATCACTGAATTTGTCAACAATAAAAATGTGAATAACTTGTACCTAAGGCAGTGGCGGATCCACTTGTATGTCAGGGCACCAGCTAATTTTTAAAAATGGTACATTTTTTCTTCAAAAATTATGATACAATCTTAGTACTGGTTGAGTTTTTAAAAATAATACAACCTTAGCACTGGCTGAATTCTACCTGGTGGGTCTTTTGGCACTGGTTGGGTTTTTCTTCTGGCTCCGCCATTGACCTAAGGTTTATATTACTTGCTGGAATATGATTACAGAACTATATATTGAAAAAGAATAATAAAAATATGACAATACTTTAAGCTAAATAGACATTGTATCTGATAGACTCAGAAGGACAAAAAGCATAACTGAATGCTGAGTTGGCAAGAAATAATGGGAAGTGTGAATTCAGTTAGGAAAAAAAATGAGAATATAATAGGGAAGGATAGGTAGTGCAAGGTAGGCATGAATTAAGCAAATGGGTTAGGAAGGGGTAGAGGATCTGACTGAGTTGGCAGACCTCTGGAGTTTTCTTTTCAATTTTTTTTTTCTTCTTTTTGTAATTTCATGTTTTCTGCATTTTAATTTTCTGTATGTGTTGCTGTAAGGAGCTAGTATCCTCTGTTTTTCATTAATAGAAATACAGTTCCATCAGTATCTAAGCAAGTTGGGAGTATCATGAAGTTAGGGAGTCTTCATTTTCATTCCAAAACTTAACATTCCTTGTTACATCTTGCATTTAAATTTTAGTGTTTGAACTGATGAGACATATTACTGCATACATCTAGGGTTCTGTGTATAACTATATGTTACGAATTAAGCTTGGGGGGAAAGCTACAACATTGAGGTATATTCCCTTAGGAATACACCCTAGGCAGGGGTTAATTCTGTTCAGAGCAGTTAGTCGGAGCCCGGGGTAGTTAATATGGCAGTTATGCTGCTGGAGGCTAGGAGGGAATCCCGGATAGTGTATATAAGGGAGATGGCCCTCCTTTAGGAGTGGCTTTGGAAAAACATTGTGTTAGGCTAAGAATTTCTCAGTTGAAGGGGAGTGCCCCTTGTGAAGAGGATTTTCCTCTTGTGTGTTATTTGGTTTTCTCATCAATAAAATTGTAATTTTTATCCAATTTCCCATGTTTTCCTTCTTGCTCCTTTGTCATTGAGAAATTCCTTCCCTTGTGCAATCCAGAGCAATAACACAATATTATTACAAACAACAAAAGCAAGAAGAGAGAGAGAGAGAGAGAGAGAGAGAGCACTTGGATATGGGATTGTTTGAAATGTCCTATCTTTGGTGATAGCCTACTCACATTGTGTAATGTGTGAGATGAGACACTGTTTCATTTGGCCTAAATTTTGAATTGGATTTTAAGTGGTCTGCCATTTTCAATGTTGCCCAGGTTGTGTGTGCAATACCTGGCCAATATGAAACCAGAAAGGAAAGAGGGGTGTTATTGGTCCAAATGCCATTGCCATGGGCACTGGGAAATTGCATTGGCAATTAGGCCAGTCCTTTGTCGCAATCCTTTGTCCTTGGTAACATGGAAGTCTGATTTTTTAGCATTTCAGTAGAGATGGGGAAGTGTAACTTACTAATAATCAGTCTTTGTACGCAAAAGACATCTGGTGCTTGTGATGAAAATTTAATTGATAGTTATTTCATGTGTACATATTTTGTTTTCATTCCTCTTCTAAATTCTGATAACATCTCGTATATTCATGCCATAGATATGAAAGTGGAGATAGACTAAGCCCAGAGCATGAGAAAGCCATTCTTGAGAAGCTGCTTCCCTTTCATCCAGAATATGAGAACAAGATCGGATGTGGAATTGATTATATAACGGTATATATCTCTCTCTCACACTCACACTCACACTCACAGCATGTGCACTACTTTCGTTGATAAAAGGCTTTTCCAAATATTATTTTTTTGTTGAGTCCAATAATTATAATTTTTTTAGCTTTAGCAATCTATTGGATATACCTCCATGACATCAGTTTCACATCTATCATAAAATTAAAATGGCTCCTGATAAAACCGTTGATCCAAACAAGGTTCAAGATGGGCCGAAGAAGGAGAAGGCCTTACAAGTTTATACCATAGGCCTAAGGCTACTAGAGCTTGTTTGTACTTAGGAGGTAAACATGTAAGTGGAGAGGGAAAGTTAGCTATAGAGAAAGAATATAGAAGGGAGAGAATATAGATCTGATACAAATAGAAATGTAACAGAGGGGGTTACACTCTATGGATTTTCAGCTTTTAACTTTGGACCATCAGAGAATATCCTTGGCAACTACTGCTATTACATTTCCTTGTAATTATGTCCTAATTTCATTATCAATACAACTTTACTTTTATATGTAAGAACTGTTTCCTATCAGCTTTGGTGGAGGATCTGACCCAGTAATAATAGGGTTTGTCTCCTCTGAAGTGCAGGGTGCAATTTACTTATTAAGATTCAAGTGGGTAGCTATTGACAACGAAATCAAGGGAGTTAGTTTTTGCTAATTCATAGAGTGCTATCTGTTTGCTTTCATTTTATGAAAATTTATGCCATTGATTCGTTCATCAATGAGGATCCATTCCGCACTTCACTTAGCAAAATGCACCTTGCTCTTTAGAGGACTCTAATCCTGAATAATAGTAACCTAATTGGGTAGTTTTACACCCCTGATTTGCTAATAACTGAACTATGTTGCTCAGCTTTGCAATTTATTGAGCCTCTGTACAGATAGGCTCCTTCTGGATATTCATCTTGAAGTTGTCTTCGTTTTGCCCTTTCTAGTAGGTCAATTCATTTGTTGTTCCAAATCCAACTACTTTGCTTGGTCTTATTTTCATCCCATGTTAGTTAGTTGCTGCCAGCCAAGGATATTCTCTGATGGTCCAAAGTTAAAAGCTGAAAGTCCATAGAGTGTAACCCCCTCTGTTACATTTCTATTTGTAATAGCAGTAGGACATATGATTTTTCGTTGGGGCATACCTTTCATAGCGACACGTTGCATCGGGCCCCGGGTGTAGCGAAAAATGGGCTAGGGCCCTTGCCACAAGGCAAGGCGCTGCATCGAGCCCCGGATATAGTGAAAAATATGCTAGGGTCCTTGCCCCAAGGCAAGGCGCCAGGTCTCCACCCGGATTTGGTGAGAAGTATGTTAGGGTCCCAACACGCAGATGGGCGAGCGTGGCGGGCAAGTACAACCCAGGGGTTAAGGATGTGATTGGGAAGCTAGAACATAGGAACCTTAACGAGTAAGTTGAGGGAGTTAGCAGATGTTTTTGCTAAAAGGAAAGTGAATATTGTTTGTTTGCAGGAAACTAAGTGGGTTGGAGAAAAGGCCAAGGAAGTGGATGGAACTGGTTTCAAGTTATGGTACACAGGTATTAACAAGAGTCGGAATGGTGTTGGAATTATGATTGATAAAAGTTTCAGAGATAAAGTTGTGGACGTCAAAAGGAAAGGCGACAGGATTATTCTGGTTAAGCTGGATAAGAAAAAGGTACCATCAAAGTATGTAAAGGCAATCAAGGATATGTATGATGGGGCTACTACCTGTGTGAAAGCTTGTAACGAAACATCAAGTTATTTCCCTATCACGGTAGGTGTACACCAAGGGTCGGCTCTAAGTCCTTATCTCTTTGCCTTAGTTATGGATGAACTAACAAAAGATATTCAAGAGGAAGTGCCATGGTGTATGCTTTTTGCAGACGATATTGTGCTTATCGATGAGAGCAAAGACGGTGTTAATAGAAAACTTGAATTGTGGAGAAGCACGTTGGAATCTGAAAGATTCACATTAAGTCAGAGCAAGACTGAGTATCTGAAGTGTGAGTTTTCTCTGGTAAGAGATGTAGATCAAGATCCCGTGCATCTAAGTGGTCAAGAGGTACCCAAGAAAGATACTTTTAAATACCTGGGCTCCATTTTGCAAAAAGGTGAAGAGATTGATGAGGATGTAAATCATAGAATCAGAGCAGGGTGGATGAAATGGCGTAGTGCATCTGGGTTTTTGTGTGGCCGCAAAATCTCCCTTAAGTTAAAAGGAAAATTCTATAGAACAGCAGTAAGACCTGCAATGCTATATGGAGCTGAATGTTGGCCAGCACATAGGCAACATGAGCATAAAATGGGGGTAGCAGAGATGAGGATGTTAAGGTGGATGTGTGGTCATACGAGGATGGATAAGATAAGAAATGAAGATATTCGACGAAAGGTAGGATTACTGCCGGTGGCTGAGAAGATGAGAAAAGAAGATGAGAGAACATAGATTGAGGTCTTTTGGGAACGTAATGAGAAGGTCCCTGGATGCTCCCGTAAGAACAGAAGTTTGTTACCAAGAGCTCAACACAAAAAAAGGTAGAGGTAGACCGAAACTTACTTGGGGGAAGGTAGTAAAACAAGATTTAATAGAGTGGAATATAGATTGGCGGACGGTATGCCTTAGAACGGAACGGAGAAAAGCTATAAGCATGGTGGAGGGTTAGACCTGTTGTTATTCTTATGTTCCAGATGGTCCCTTTTTAGTCCTTTTCCCCTTCATTTCCCCCTCTTCTTCTTTTCCTTTTCTTTTTTTTACTTATATATATATATATATATATATATATATATATATATATATATAGGGTCAGGATCATTTTACACCAGTGTAAGTTACACTCTTAATCTTGTCCGTTGATCTCATTTATATCTAAGGGCTCTAATTTTTTAGTAATGTGCGCCATTGGATACAAGTGGATCAATGGTCAAAATTGAGTGTAAAACTTCTAACTCTTACACCGGTGTAAGAATATCCTGCCCCATATATATATATATATATATATATATATATATATATATATATATTTACTATTCTATTTATTTATTTTTCTTTTTTTTTCCAACCTTTTTATATCTTTTATTTGGGTTCATCTACCACCGACCCCAATTAATTTGGGATAGAGGTGTTGTTGATGTTGTTGATGTTAGTTATGGATTCCCATAATAAATGTTTTTAGTAAAGTTATAGCCTGTAAAGTCTTTTGCAGCTAGCCAAATATGGCTTTTGGCCATGGTGTTACCTTCATGTGTAGTGGTTATGTTATCCCCGTATTAGATGCTGAAAAGTTTGTAAAATGATTGGATCTCACTTTTCTCTTGTTAGGCTAAAAAAAGAGCAGTGCAATTGTTGGCTTCTGCTTTCAAATGATCTTCCATTACATGCCAACGTAGTTTTTATTTTAATATAAATGAAATATGCATTCACTACACTAGTTGTCTGTTAAATTCTATCCAATCTGGTTTTTTGGGGTGACTATAAAACTTGATTTGTCATCTTTGTATGTTGCTGAAAAGTATATTACTCTCTTTTCCTACGGCAGATTGGATATCATCCTAATTTTGAACGCTCTAGGTGTTTGTTCATAGTACGAAAAGATGGAGAGATGGTTGACTTTTCATTTTGGAAATGCATAAAGGGTTTGATCAGAAAGAATTATCCATTATATGCAGACAGTTTCATTCTCAGACATTTCAGAAAGCGGAGTCGTGATTTGTGAAGTTAGCCCTATCTTATTGCTGGTTGTACCATTTTATATTAGAATTCTCTTTTCTTTTTTTTATTAAGAAAAAAATATTCTCCCTTTTGATTTTTCGTGTTCTCTTATTGCTGGTAGCATGCTATTTTAATGGTCTGCAAAGAACGAATATAGAAATTCCTGGAGTTTAGAAGAGTGGATAGCATTTAACGACTCGCTGCAAAAGATTGCCATCAATGCTGGAAATGACTCCAATTTATTATTAAGTGATTTTAAAATATGGTAATGTAGATTATGTACATAGATAGAGCTTGATGATAATGTTACTTTCAGTTCGATTAATTTTCAATTTGAAGGAATTGAAGTTTAATTCTGAAGTTTGCTTTATTTACATACCATTGGTACATTACCGTTTAACCCTCTAGGGAGAGGGGATGTTATCCAATTTTAATTCCAAAACATGTCATAAACTTCAAGCATTGGCGGACGTATTTGGTTGTCAACGTGTACAAGTGCACGCATAAATTTGATTATATATTTTTTTTTATTAAAGAAGAGATATATTTTTTAATTAATTAGGAATGTCACTTACGAAGCAATTTTAGTGACTGCAATGCAGAAACACACGCATAGGTACTACGAAAGAAACACATCTCATTTACTGCTTATGTTTTAGTGGTTTTATATCATTAAGTTGATTACTATTTTTTTATGTTAAGTCGAAGTTTTCTTTTCTTTTATTGTTTGAGGATTATATCCCTCATATTATATGAATGATTTTTTTTGTCATTTTAGAAAAAGACAAGTTATATAATATTAAAGAAAAATGAGATGACACATTATTCAATGAACTGGTCTTGTCTTTTTCTTAACATACAAAAATTTGATTCACGTAACATAAGGGATATAAATTCTTTTTTTGTTTATATTCTTTTATTTTTTAATGTATTTAAAGTTTTGTTTTAATTTTTTTTTCGGAAGCACTGTCCGCAAATCCTCTCCACTAAATATTCAAATTAAATATGTACACGTAAATAAAATTTCCTAGCTCCGTGATTGACTTCAAAGATGACTTATCGTAGTATTTACAAGTTGTTTATAATGGAGAATTGCTGACACAGAGAATAAAATATTCTTGATTTGCTAAAAATTGGGGAATAACATAACACAAAAACATTGTACTTTTTTTGTGAAAAAAAACATTGTACTTTGTTTGATAACTCAAATAGTACGAGTACTTAACGAAAAGAATTCAAGTTAGTTGAAGATTTATTTTCAGATTTTTGAAAAAGTGAGAGTGATAATTTAATTTATTCATGTTTTGTAGAAAAAATTTGAAATTTTTTCCGGACATATAATTTTCTCATGATTTTATTTTATGTGTAAAATATAAATCAAATACTATTTAAGAATACTATTCAGAAGGTGATATTTTCATTTTTTTTGGAAAAGTAAAAAATTAGATGCAAATTTTTTTATAAAAATACCAATAATATTTTAGCTTACAAAATAATTTTTTAGTAACATTCTCGAAAAAAATCACTTTTTCACCCTATTTTCGGGTAAAAATATTTTTTTTTTCCCTTTATCAAACACTCTCCAAAAGAACATCAGAAATCCTTGACTTTTTGCTGCACAATAAATTAGGTAAAAAGACCAATAATTCTTATACTTTTATAGTTTTATTATTTCAGATTTATTATGCATAGAATAGTACCCAGGATGAAAAATTTTAATGTGCTCTAGAATCACCATGATTCTTTCGTTAAGAAATTGTCACATGTACCAATTTTTTTCTCTCTTTTCTATCTCCTCAACTTTTTCTCTCATCTTCACCTCATCAAAATTTTTTGGACCTGGAGCACATAAATATCGCTCCAGAAGAGGAAGTACATTTTAATAATTTTTTGTTATTTTATTCGGAGATATCATAAAATTTTTAGTCCAATCTATGATTACATGATTATATTTGTACTATCCTTCAATATGCATCACAACTTAAGTGAAGTGTCATGATTCTTACCGGTTCAACTAATAATCACTGTTAAATTTGAAAAGACTATATTTCTTGCATAAGAATTAGCAGACCTATGATAAGTTAAGCATCTATAAGTAGCTTTGATAGCGTCGACATTGATTAGCTTCGGTCTTATGTTATCGTCATTATCCGGTTCACACTTTTTTTTTTTTTTTGAAAAAATATCAAAAAAAATATTATTAGTGTTTTTTTTTTATAAATTATATCAATTTCATAATTTGTAAAATGGAAGTGTAGTGTGAGGTTCTCATTGGTCCTTAACTTTTCACACCTATTCAGGGGAACAAAATTTTAGTCAACAGGAAGTACCAAGTGAGTATTTCACTTTATTTTTTTCTTTCATTTATATTTTTATTTATGTCCAAATTTTTTATTTATGAGATTTGATTTTTTCATGTTGATGTTGTGACTTTTTAATTTGCGTGCAAATTTTTTTTTATCTTTTTTTTTTTTATCTTTTTAATAAATGTGGAGTTCATCATTAGTTGAGTCACAACATCAGAATTAAATTCACATGCAACATATGAAAAAAATATTTTTCTTCTATTTATATTTAAAAAGAAAGAAGTGTCTATTTTGATACTTTTTGATGCACTAAAAATGTATTCCATTCCTTATTTTTTGAATTAACTAATAAACAAAAATTAACGGTACTGACTGACGATGTGCTGATGTTTAGAATGGCAAGGTGGTGTGGGTTGGAAACTTTGGAGTTGAACACGTGTTTGCGCTCCCATTTTGTTGGCCCCAACAAACTGTCATCTTCATTATATTATAACTTTTTGGTGCCTTTATGAAATGGTAATGCAAACGGACTATATTTGACAGTGCCTGTCCCTCCCTTCACTATGAGACACCTGTTCCCTTCTTGTAGTCGAGTGCTTATCTTTTCTCGCCATTGGGGGAAAAATGTGCTAAGGTGTCCTAACAAGTTTGGACCTTTCTAGAGTGGGCAAATTTGTGATCAGGTAACTTGATCCACAATCATGTACTTAATTTGATTTTATGTGAGATGAGATCATGTGTCTCAGTTTTGGGATATGAAATAGATTACATGTAAATGTTGAACTTTATGTAAAATATATAAAAATTTAATATCAATTTTTTCAAATAAGAGAGGCTGAAAAAGAAAGGGATGAATATGGAAACAAATTAAAAATTAAATCTAACGTGGTGCATTGAACTAAGTGCTATTTAATTATAAAACTATTTTGTCTCACTTTTGTAGCACAAAAAAACAAATACTTAAGAAGAGTCAACTTATTGAGTGTGCCTCGGTATCACACTCGCTTGAAATTCACGGCCAAAACAAAAAAATCAATACCATCATCAAAAGATGCCATGTTCAAGGTTAAATTCTTTTTTTAAAAACAAAGGGAATAGAACATTTTTCGAAATATCCGTTTCCTTTGTAGCGTGATGGAAGGAAAAGTATAAGTCAAGGAACCCGTTCCCAGTTTAATATAAAAATAGAGTGAATAATCTTAATTTAGAAGGAAGAAAGTAAATAATCTTAATCTGTGTTTTCAGCAATATATTTTAAATTTATGAATATCTATTAAATGAAAAAAAAAACGCAGCAATCGTTGCGTTTGTATGTCTTGAGTGTAAATCAAGAGTTAATTTGGCCACGAAATTGATAGTTTGAGGCCACAACTCAGTCATAACCAGCCCCACTGCATGCTTGAAGCCAAATATTGGTGTTAATTAGTGCCCTTGCTCACGCGGAAATAGCAAAAGTGCTTGTCTTTTTTGCAAATTCAAGCAAACTCTACTATCTATACGTATCCATCCACTTCGTAAATTTATAAAGGGAAATACTTTTCGTAAAAAAAAAATTATCTCATGTTATAGAAATAGAATTATAAGTGGTACTCATAGATAAGAGAAGAGAGAAAAAAAAGTGATAGGACCCGATCATTTTATGTGTATAAAAAAGTTATTTATCTAATATAAGATAAGATAAACATAACCCATTTATAAATTGTAACTTTCTAAAAAAATTTACAAATTCTAATGCATCTTGTTTTATTTTACAGAAGATAAAGATTACAACGAGTCACTTTAGTCAGCTTCCGTTGAAAACGACGTTATCTCGTGCTATTTGTACTGTGGCGTTATTAAATACATTTAATTTTGGCGTGTTTATGTAGTACTGTTATTAACACTTAGCGGCAGAGCTACCCAAACTCTTCCATGATTACAAATCTCTTATTTTGACCTGGGCTCGCTAATTTAGTATGACATGTCCTGAAAATTGAAAGGAAAGTCTCGGATATATTTGGATTTTCCCCCTCTTCAAATCTGTTTTGTAATATAAATTTTAAAAACTGATTTTGAAACTAAGAAAATGAGAAAATTTATTTGAATATCTTTGGATTTAAAGGTAAAGAATTTGAATATATTTAGGAAAGTGTTATTAAAGAACCTTCACAATTATAAATTGTCTCGGTAAAATAATTTGAAGTTGTAAAAAGTTTAATTTATTTATGAAATTATCAATAATGAACTTTCATAATTATCAAATTGTCACAATAAAAATAATAAATCAAAAAATAATTTTGGGATTGTTCTTTAATTTTAGTTTTATTGAGAGTTCTTTTCTTATCACAAAATAACCCTTATGAAAAGTTATTTTTTTTATTAAAAAAAAGACAAAAATTATTTTTGGACATAGAAATCAAGCAACCTGTAATGCTTCATTTAATGTAAGACATCTATGCCTTTAATTAATTGCTTTATTACTATGATGGCAATGTTTAGTTTTTGAGGAAAACTGATATCTGTTTATACATGGACCAGTGGACCTGGTTAGTATTCAATAACTCGTGTTAAAGGAACATGACAAGAGGCGCCAAGAGCCGGTAAATGAGAACAAGAAATACATGTACATCTAACCAATCGCTTATTAAAACAAGGTCTTTATAGATAAATAATTTTGATTTGATTACCTAATATATTCAAGCAAGATTTATGCATTGTAGATTTGGAGACGTGAGAAGCAAAAACGTATGAAAAGAACCCTCTTTTGGAGTGGACTAACAATAGAATCGGATAAAATATTTGTGCGGATGAGGTTATTGCCTTTAATTGGATCGTTTGTTTGACTGCTTCAATCAAAATCAGGGGATCCTTATCCCATTGCTGCTAATGTTAGCTGAGAAATAGGTTTGTTGGTCTGAGTGTCCAGATAATTAATTATGGGAAAATCATTCTCCGTTTGAAAAGATGTAAGTTAGTTTTGTTTTTTACTCTATATATTGGTAGTATATAATTAGAAAAAAGTGTTTGTACTTTTAAATGACACAATTTAT